AATTAATTAGTTCGGCATCCACACTTCATACATGTGTTTGGTTTACGTAATTTACTATAACATTTTCCACATGCTTTTGCTGGTGTTGCACTTCCAAGTGTTTTTCCACAAATCAAACATTTCGATCCTCCTTTTCTACATGAATGACAAAGAAGTACAACTGATCCACTCTTCAATTCTGATCCACAGAACATACATTGTGTTTTACACCCTGAGCAAACTGACATTGTTTCTTTTCTCTTTCTTTTTCCTTTTATATTCGTTTTATTTTATTTTTATATTCTTCTTTTACATTACTTTTTTGATTTTTTACATTTGAATGACTCATAAATGAATTTAACATTATTCTGAGTGATGTTTAATTGTTATAAACATCATTTATATTCTATTATTACATATTCTAATTTATGAAATGTTTAATGATATTGTTGTGATGAAATAAACAAATATTAGTGTGATGTTAATTTAATTTATTTCATATAAAATTTCAATGAAGAATTTCATCTTTGATGTTTATTTTATTATCATTTGTTATTTAATTTCTATTTATTATTATCATTTTTATTGTTTCATTTCTTCTTTTATAATTTGATTTGTTTTATAAATCTTCATTATAATACATTGAAAATTATTTATGATAAATAAACAAAATGTGAATTAAATAATTGATGAATTAAGTATGATTTTAATGTCTTTCTATTATTACAAATAATATCATTATTCATTTCATTCATTATATTTATAATGTTGAAAATTGAATAATATTTAATGATATTCATTATAATAACATATTCATTTAATTCAATTGATACAATAAAAAATAGAAAGTAGAATAATGAAATATTAAATAACAATGAAGTTATTAAAAATCTTTAAGTTAATAATAAGATACTGAAGAATGATGAATTATTGATGAACAAGTTAAGAGAAAAGAAAGTTAAACACTAAATAACAAGAAGATGAAATAAAAATAAGAACAATTCAAATAAATAAATAACAACAACAATAAGAATAATACAAATAACAATCAAAAAATATTATAAAGAAAATTAACAATGAAAGAAATAGAGAAACAATGATAACATCAACAAGATTGAATATAAAAATGAATGAAACTACAACAATAAAAATAGAGAAGTAGAAATAAAGAATACAAAAGAATAAACAATCAAGAAGTTGAAATATATAATTGTTCTTAATCATTTTATTCATCAAATACAACCATAACACTGTCATAAATGAAATATAAATACTAAATATACACTAATACTTTATTTGATGTTATTCCAAATCAAAACATAATAGAATTGTTTATATGAAAGAAACAACAAGGATTAATATTGGTATTGAAGTGTTATGAATGATAAAGATAAAGAAAATACAATAATCAATGAAATTCTGAAATAATTCAACAAACACACTATTTTATCGTTTATTTCGATTATTGTTGAATGAAGAATTTTTCATACATTAACACTCAATGTGAGAATTGTCAGTCACATCTTTCATGAAGTTCTTTAACTTGTTAGAAAAGAAGAGGATTGATAAAAATACATATTCTTCAGATGGAGAATGACATTATCCAAGAATATTATCAGAAGCAGAATTACATATCTTAGGCATTATGCTCCCATCATAGAGTATAAAACACAAGCAACACTGCTCTAAAAATAAAAATGAACAAAAGAATCGATTATATTTTCCACTTTAAATCTGACTGAATGTCATGTTTCATACAACAAAACGATGAACAATCCCCTTCATCGACAAACAATCAAAATACTTACTTACAACATTTATTGTCGTCCACCAGGAATTACTGCACGAGGAAATGATTATAAGAAAGAAAGACTAATGACGTTTTGTGATGAAGAACTTAACAAGTATGACATAGTGGCATTTCAAGAGTTGTTTGGTGCATTTTCATCTAAACGACGAATCTTCATAGAAAAAGCAAAACAACAAGGATTTGTGTATGAAGCTCATCTAGAAAGACCAAAATGGCCTATCTATCCAGTTGATGGTGGTGTATGTATATTATCACGTTTTCCCATTGTAAGTCAACACCAAAAGATTTATACAAGAGGATGTTATTCAGATGGAGCATCTGCAAAAGGAGTTATTCATACAAAAATTGACATTGGATTTGGAAAAGAAATTCATCTGTTTTCTACACATCTTCAAGCAGATTATTATGAAAGTAGAGAAGACAATGCCAAATCAAGACGTCATCGAAATACACAAATCAGTGAATGTCTTCATTTTATTAATGAATGTACAGCACATGACAATGATCCAATCATATTTGAAGGAGATTTAAACATTAAAGGAGGAACAAAAGAATATGATGATTTTCTTACCACACTCCATTCTAATGAATTTGATATTGAAGCACATGACTTTTTGTTTGAGGATAAGAAAGTTCATCCAATCACACACAGTGAAGTTATTGATGGAGAACAAGTTGATACAGTCATTACATCTAAAGTTCCAGCACCGATTAATGCACGACTTGATTATATTTGGGGAATTAAGAATGGAAGAGAAAGAAAAGAATTAAAAGCCATTCAAACAAATGTATGTAAATTTCAAACAACAAACAAACCATTTCCTTATATGTCTGATCATTATGGAGTAGAAGTGACACTAGAATTATTGTAACATATATTTAATTGACACTTATCTTTTGTTTATTTTTACTAAAACTTATCTTTTTTATAGATAAAGAGAAGTACCAAACTCAGTTAGAAATTCTTATATAATTAAAAGTACATTTGTCATTTTTATTTATTTATTTCTATAATTCCTTGTTATTAGTTAAGATTAATATCACATTCATTTTATTTGTTGTTTCTATTTGTGAGTTATATTAATATCAACTAAATGTATTTTATTTTGTTTCACAATAAAAGTACGTTTTGCTTCATTTGAAAGATTCTAAATGTATTTACATTTGACTAATGAATTATTATAAAGTAATTGTACAAAATGACTCTTGTATGAATGTAAACTCTCATTTAATACTAACTATGATATTGTTTGATTTAGTGAAGTTGATGTTATTAAATTTACTATGATAATATATTCAAATAAACAAGAATAGTCAAATGAAGAAAATACACAATATTCATAATATTACATTCATTGAATTGAATGGATACTCATTAGAACATAACAATACAACGATTTGATGTAGAAAAATATTGAATTGAAAGAAGATGAGAATGATTTGATATTCAAAAGATGTTAAACAACAAATTAAAAAGAAAATAGTCAAATGTCTTCAGTAAAAGATATTCAAACCATTGTTGTAGTGTTAATAATGAATTATCAACTAAATTCAATAAATAAACAAAGAAATTGTTAATGAATAAAATATACATCATAATATTAAAGTATTCAATTAAATCATTAAAGTATTAAGATGTATTTGTTTATTTAATCACTGCCAATGAGACAATGTGTATAAGATAAAATATATGTTATTGTCAATGAATATTGAGATAATTTAACTTTATTTTATTCATTAGCAAATGAAATATTCATATTATGATAAGTTCATAGTACTAATTATATCACACAGATATAACAAAACATCAGTTAAAATATCAATAATGATTCTGTGAATGTTTAATATGAATTATACAAAAATGAATATGAAAATAATAATCAAATAATATAGTATGTTAATGTCTCTTCATAATAACAATATTTATAATGAAAACATTGATATTCTTTGATATTTCATTGAAAGTGACAGAAACTAACTATCAACAAAACAAAAAAACAGAAAATTAAAGACAATGAGATTGGCAATGAATAATTAACACAATAAATAATTCAAACTCTTTCTACAACATATCATTGAAATCAATAATAAATCAATTATGAATTATTTAATAGTTAGATTTTCATCATATTGAGAAGTGAATGATTCACTTTATTCATCATAATTTATTTCTTGTGAATTGATGTTTTTCAACCATCATTAATTTAAATATTCTTCATTTAAGTTGTTATTTGAATTTAAATTTAATGATTATTAAAACTCACCATTCTTTGTTTTATTATTTTATGTTGAATATATCTAATAACAGTGTGACTATGTTTCATTTCATTGACTATCATCATTCATTTATCACTTTGTCTTAATAATACCAGTACATTCAATTTAAAATTATTATTAATAAATAGAAATAGTTAATTAAATGTTAATAGATTTTTCATATATTCTTCCTAGTTTAGTGGAGATTAATTCCTAAGCTGTTTAAAAAGAGTAATCTTTTTCTTTAACTTATCATTTATGTTTTTCTTGCAAAATGAGAAAATCATTTATTTGCTTTATTTTTTCCTATTAATGTCTTCTCATCCTTCTTCTGCTTATTTCTTCTTTTTAACCTTTTGTTTATTTTCTGCCTTAATTTTAAATAATTTCATTTCCTCTTTTTTACTTTATGAAAAAGAGAAGAAAACATTTCATTACTAGTATATTATTATGTTTAATTTTCTTTTATTCTTACCCACACTTTAGTACTTCCTTATATTACACCATGTAATATTCTATCATAACATCATGCTACACCCTTTGCAGTATTCCCTAATACATTTCTAATTTAAATACACTGTCATAACCAGAAAATAACAAAGAGAGTTAAAACATCAATTATATTAATGTTTGTGTGGTGTTTTAGACATGCCACATTCTTTCTTATTTCTTTAAAAAAAAGAAAAAATAAACCAATGGAATTAATCTATTAATAAAGATTCTAAAAAATTCATCTGGCAAAAGAATTTTTCTAAAAACGTCGAAACTAATCTTAATTGATCGAACGTTGTCTTGAGTTTTTTTAATGAATGTTTTGTTATTGGATTTTGGTTTGAAAACTATTATTTAGTACATCATCTTAAACGAATTGATTTTTTTATTGAGCTCTGTACTAATAATAGAAAGACTAAATCGTATTTAAACTGTTTTCTAATGAACTTATTTCATCAAATTAATGGTTGCTAAAGTTCTTGTTCTTCTTGGTACTCTTAGAGCAAATTCTAATAGTGCTGCTTATGCAAATGCTTTTATTGAAGGACTTAAATCAAAGATGGAAATTGATGTAAAAACCATTAATTTAACAAAGAAAGCAGTTAGTGGATGTAGTGAATGTTTTGCTTGTGTTCCTCACAAAGAATTATTTTGTACAGAAAAAGACGAATTTATAGAAATAGCAAATGAATTTCTTAATGCAGACATTGTTTTATTTGCACATCCAGTATTTTGGCTTTCAATTCCTGGAGAAGTTAAGAACTTTATTGATAGAATGATTTGTGTATTTGACTTTGATACTAATACATGCAAAGATTCATTTAAAGAGAATTTTGGAAAGAAATATGTTGTTTGTATGCCAAATTGTAGAAGAACAACAAAAGAAACTGCTGTGAATGCTGAAAAGCCTATTGAATGTTTTTGTGAAATGTATGGAATTCCATATTCTAGTGTTTATTTATTTGCAAATAATATGGATGTGACACAAAATGTTCAACAAAAAGAAACTGCAAAGAAAGCAGGAATTGAATGTGGTGAGAAATTAATGAAACAGAACAATCAATTTTAATTTAATTTTTCATTAAAAATTCATTATATTCTTATTTTTAATGTTTTATACCATTTATTTTATAAACAATATATTAATTGGAATATGTTTTATGATGTTGTTACTATTATTGATATTTTCATTCAATCTAATTTGTTTGTGTCTTTATTTTGTTCTATTTATCATTTGTTCAGAATAAATATAACATAACACATACAATATAAAGAAGAATATAAGTAATTACACAAACCAAATAATTAATTCAAAAGAAAAACAAACAATATTCTGTATAAATAAAATTATTTAAATAAATAAGTTGATGAAGATAGTATTCTTTCTATAAAATATCAAATAAAAATAAAAAGAAATAATCTGTAACATGACATTGAGAGTATGAATTGAACAATAAACTTTATTATTTTTTGAGAAATTCAAAGTAATGTATATTCTCTAAAGAAATAATGCTAATTTCTAGAAATGAAAATCAAAGAATATACATAAATACAAAATAATGAAATAAGAAAATAAAAATAATGAAATGAAACAATAAACGTTTAAACAAATAAATTACAAAACAAGAAAAAATAAAGAACAAGAAAATAATTTTTAACTGATTAAAAGAATGAAAAATAATTAAAAATAATATAAAGAAGAAACAACAAAAAATCTTATTAAACTATATTGAATGATGTAAAATTCATCATTCATTTAAAACTGAATAATAGATAAAATGAAAAAGTGAAAATAATAATACACAATAATATATTAATGAAATTCAATATTATTAAGAAATGATTTGAAATAACTTATTACAATTTCTATTCTATTAGAATAATTGAAATAATTAATAACTTAAAAAGAGTAATGAGATGAAAATAAAATACAACAATGAAATATTTAGTTATAGTAAAAGTATTGTAAAATCAAATTAACAAAACATAAATAAACAAATATAATTAGATATTCACAAACAAATAAAAAATAATACCATTTGAATAATTAAAAGTTTTGTAAAAATGAAATATAAATAATAATTACAATAATATAATGTTTAATGATATTTTAAGGGGTACGAAAATCAGCAAAGAAAAAATGCATCTAAATAATTTACAAAAAAGAAAAAAGAAGCAAAATATTTTGCATCAATAGAATATTCAATTTATTATATTTTGCTCATAAAAAAAAAATAAAAAAAAATATGATAAATACAGAATATGTATATATTTATGTAAATATTTTATAATCATTTGTATTCATTTTGTATGAAATATTAGTGAAATAAATGATTTGATGAATCATATTTAATTATATTCTTTATTCTTTTATTATTATGTTATTTATGTATTTTATTTTTATATATTTATATCTCTTCTTATAATATGTATATCATCATCTTATTATCTATATATTATTATATTCTTTAGATTATCTTCTTGTTATTCTTTTCTATTTAGATGTATTTATTTATTTAATTATTCATCTTTATCATTTATATCTATTTTCATTTATATCTATTTTCATTTTATATTTATTCTCTTTTGATTTATATTGTTTTTATCTTTTATCTTTTGATTTTATTATTATATCATTTATTATCATTTCTCATTTTATTTATCATTTATTCTTATTATTCTTTTGTTTTATATTCTATATCATATATTCATATCATTTATATTTTATATTTTATCACTTATTACATGTTATATAATAACATAACACATATGATTGATTATATAATAAACATCATGATGAAATTATACATATAAATAATAAATATAAAAATAAAAAAATATTTTTCAATAATAAAACAATATTAATTATTTTGAATCATTGAATTATACACTTTTATTTCATATTTCTAATTTTTACAATAAAAATACACTTTTTATTCTTCTTTTCTTCTTTTATTATTTTCTTTTTTTACTTTTTATCTTCTTTTTATCTTATTCTACTTCTTAATTTATATTCTTTCTTTTTTCGTTGTTGTTTCTATTTCTTTCTTCTATTATTTATCAATTTTATATTCATTTATTCATTCTCTTTTTATTTCATTTTTATTAGTTCTTGAGTATTGTATATCTCTTTATTATTTCATTTATATATTATCAAAATATATGTTTAATTGAATTTATGCTGAACAAAATATTAAATAAATAAACACTTTCATTGTTAATTATTTATTATTTATTCTGAAATGTTGTGTATATTTATTATATTAAATTAATATGATGAATGAATATCAATATTATTGTTTATTTGATTTTAAAAAATAATAAATGAATATGAAATAATGAAATAAAATAATGAAATAATGAAATGATAATGAAATAGAATAATCTAATATTGAACAAATCAAATAAAGAATATATTGAATATATCATTATTGTTACATTATTATTTGTTATTTCAATTATTAAATATTAATACATTATTATTCAAGAATATTTAATTGATATTTTACAATTTCATTTTCATTTTATTTAATAAATGAAATATGAATAATAAATGAATGAAATAATAATGTAATAAATGAAATAATAAAAATAAATGAAAGAATAAATAATAAAGAAATATGATGTATTTAATATATAATATAATTTATTATCAAATATAATAATATAAAATAATGAATTATTTTTATTTCAAAATATTTTGCATCAATAAAAAATGTTGCTAAATATTTTGCATCATTAAATTTTGCACTTTTTTTATTGCACTTTTTTTATTTGTTACAATAAAATTTGCATCCTTTATTTTTTTCATTCTTTTCTTCTTTTATCATTTCTTTTGTTTTATTACACTTTTTCTTCTTTATTTTTATATTCTCTCCTTTCTACTTTTATTCTTTCTTCATCATATCCAACTTTTTACTTTCTTTTTATTCTTTTATATCATTCATTCTCTTCTTTTTCAATTATTTGCTTTTTTTCGTTGCCATAAATAATAATTTATTGAAATATAAATTATTTGTTATTAATAATATTAAAAGAATAAAAAGAAGAAAAATTGAATGACGGATATCTTAAAAATAAATTAAGTTCAAACTAAAAATAAAAAAGAACTAATAAATAATAAAATAATAAAAAAAGAATGCAAATAGGATATAATGAAATAATGATTGTATCAAAGTATTTTGAAGATATTAATGATTTTATTAATTTAGAAATTGGAATTAAAAGATTTAGAGGAAATATGGAATGATTTCATTTTAATCCAATTCCATTGAATCAATATTCAAGAAAATTGTTTCCTAATATTGAAACATTTCATATTTATAATAAAGAAGATAAAATATTTAAAGATGGAAGAATATTTAAATATATAATATGGTATAAAGTGAATTATTCAAGATATTTAAAAGAGAAAAAAGGAATGAATGAATATAAAAATATCGAATATACGGAATATGATAGAATTAAATATGGAAATACAATACCAAAAGAAGTTAATTCACTTGGAAATGAATGTTTTTATTTTTTGTAATTCATTAACAACAATTAATATTTAATAATTGATTGTAGAAATACAAAGTGAATGTTTTAATGAATATTATCATTAAAATTAAAACAAATAAAATTAGAAAATGAAACAGAAAAGTTAATTTCTAATTGAATAAATCATTAAAGATTTTTATTAAATCAACAATGTGTTTTTATTAAATTGATAGTAACTAAACATGTCAATTCAATAAAATAAATTCTTATTTGTGTAATTCATTTGAGTTAATCACATTACAAGCATATGTTTGAAAATTATGAAAGTAATGTTATGATAAATGTAAATCATTCATATTAATTGTAATTTCATCATCACTTAATACTTTAAATCATTGTTGTTTTAAATACTATTCAATATTATGTATTTTCAATATTCTATATAAAGATATTGAATTTTAAGAATGATGTTTTATTGATGTAATGAATCATTGAAAATACAATTTATTTTCATATTCTTTTAAATTTAATATTAGTTATTCCATTAATTAAATAAATCATTTAAAATTAAATAATGTGTTAAATTGTTATTTTGAAATTATAGTATTAGAATAAAATAAACATCATTCTTGTCATTAATTTGAAAATTCATTATGGCAATGATATATTTTATAGTTTTATTCAATTTCATTACAAAATATTGTAATAAAAGATAATTTAAATTCAGTTATTAAATATTAAAATAGAAGAATGAATAAAACAAACAATTCATAACTTAAATTATTTTAATAATAAATAGAATAAAAACACAATAATTAAATATTTAAGATAAAAATAAAATGAAATAATACATTCATTATTTATTTATGTCATTTCTTATTTTGTATTTCATTCTTTCTATTTATTTATTCTTCTTATTATTTATTTAATATTAAATATCATATGAATTGAATGTATGTATTATTTGTTATAATTATTAATGATATATTCTTATTTATTATTAATGTTATTGTTTGTTGTATTCTTATTTATTCATGTTTATCAGTGTTATATTTCATTCATGATTAATGTATAAAATAAATATGTATCTTTGAATGAGACAAAATAAAAATAATTCATTACACATTTGAAATTCAATTTAAACATATTTATTATTTACAATGATATTCAAATATTTTGAAATGGTATTTTAATATTAAAATTTAATTATACTCAAACAACATCTCTTTCTTTTGTTTAATTTACAATTTATTTTATATTAGATCAATGAATAGATATTATAATTTGTATATTGTATATTTAGAATTTATTTTATATTTTCATTTGATAATTTTAAAGAATTATTGTTGTTTTATATTTAGATATTGTTTTCATATATTTTCTTATTTCATGAATAAAGATATTTTCTTATTGTTATTTTAATATTAATTCTTATTGTTTATTCATATTGTTTAAATAAAAGAATATTTGTATTTAATATTAATTCATATTAATTCTGATTGTTATTTTCATTTAATGTTATTCTTTATAATATATAATGTTTATCAATAAACAATATGTTGAATTATATTCATTTATATCATTAGA